GGCCAGTGTTTAATTGGCAGCTTTGAGCCGAGTGTCATGTACCTGAGCTGTGTGTCCTGTGTGTCCCTGAAAGCTTTCAGCTAAGCGCCATCTACCTGAGTTGTGTGTCTTTGAGATGTGTGTCCTTGAGCTGTGTGTCCTGTGTGTCCTTTGAAAGATTTGATCCGAGTGCCACCGTAGCTGTATGTCCTTGTGTTGTGTGTCATGTGTGTCCCTGAAAGCTTTGAGATAAGTGTCATATTATGTGTCCTTGAGGTGTGTGTCCTTGAGCTGTGTGTCCTGTGTGTCCTTGAGTTGTGTGCCCTGTGTGTCCTTGAGTTGTGTGTCTTGTGTGTCCTTGAATTGTGTGTCTTGTGTGTCCTTGAGTTGTGTGTCTTGTGTGTCCTTGAGTTGTGTGTCTTGTGTGTCCTTAAGTTGTGTGTCCTATGTGTCCTTGAGCTGTGTGTCCTCTGTGTCCTTAAGCTGTGTGTCCTTGAGTTGTGTGTCATGTGTGTCCTTGAGTTGTGTGTCCTTGAGTTGTGTGTCCTGTGTGTCCTTGAGCTGTGTGTCCTTGAGTTGTGTGTCTTGTGTGTCCTTGAGTTGTGTGTCCTTGAATTGTGTGTCCTGTGTGTTCTGTGTGTTCTTGAGCTGTGTGTCCTTAAGTTGTGTGTCTTGTGTGTCCTTGAGCTGTGTGTCCTTAAGTTGTGTGTCCTTTAGTTGTGTGTCCTGTGTGTCCTTGAGTTATGTGTCCTTGAGTTGTGTGTCCTTGAGCTGTGTGTCCTGTGTGTCCTGTGTGTCCTGTGTGTCCCTGACAACTTTTGAGCCAAATGTCATGTACCTGAGCTTTGTGTCTCTAAGAGTCCGGACATATCTCTGAGTCTAGAGGCAAACCATGAAAGTTCAATGTTTATTCACCTGGAATATTTCCAGTTGTAACGTGGGCATCACTGTGATCTCCAGCATCGTGCAGCAAAGGTCGATGTTACTCACATCACTCAACCGTGACTAATGCAGTGTTTCAACGACTCCATGCTCGCGTCAATTATACTGCACTTGATCCCCCCTTCCGCCCCCCTTGCCCCTCGCCAAGTGTGCTCAGTCTTTAAGGACAATCTGCTGTTGAAAAGCCTCTGTGATACGTCATTGGGATATCTTAGTCCATTATCTGAAATATTTGCACACCACATTTAATTCGTGTGCTCCCAGTTACCCTGTGTTTTTCACCTTGATCGTCGTACTAGTGTCGGAGATTGTGTTATTATCGACACTTTTAGTTTAAGAAATAGTATCGGAGGTTCCATTATAATTGTATGGTTCAAGGCAATCTCTTTCCACTCGCCTCCACGTAAAATCTAACAGTAACTACACGGTTACGGGAAATATCATATTTGAGCTCACAGCAGATTGATTGTAATCTAACCCTTTAATCGGTTGTAAGCTTATTCCTTTAATTTTGTTAACTGACTCCCTTTTAGGGTCGTTGGAAAGCGGCTCAGTTGTTGACATTTTCTTCCAGACTGTTAGTGTTAAACTCCCACAGAGTGTAGTAATTGCTGTAAAATTGCTGCTCAGATTTGAGAAGTGTTTTCAGGCTCACATCGACCTGCCATTAAAGATAATTCCAACCTTTCTAAAAGTGCAATGAAGGAGTTATATCTCCTCAAAATGACATTGTCAAGTAAAATACTTGTAATTGTCAGGAAACGTTTCCCAATTTTTGTCTGCACTTTCTTTTTCTTTGTTTCGTTTCGTTTTGTTTTGTTTTAGTTGTTGCTGGATAATTCTTGGGGTGTCGACTCGCCTAGTATTTATGTTGAGGTTGCAGTGACTTGTGGGTAGCAATTCCTGGCCTGTCATATTCCCAATAATATTTGAGCCGTTTGAACCAGGTAGCTTTCGTTTTGGGATTTTTTGTGTGTTATCTATCGCTGATGAAGATTTTGCTTTGCCTCGAGCACAAAGTAACTATAAAGTTTTTCCTTTAATAAGTTTTGTCTTGTACACATTTTAAAATATGTGAACGCTGAAACCGAAACATGATTATGATAGCTGATATTCTGGACTCTCCATAGGTCCAGATCGGGAATCTTCCAATTTTTAATGGTTAGAGAAAACGTGTTAAAATTACATGTCATACCCAAGTCACGACTTGTCAAATTAGTTCCTTATTGGTACGCCTTTGTCAGAAAATGTTTTTTGTCTTTGTTAAGTTAATACATGTACAAGATATTTGCTCTGGCACCAGTTTGGCCGTCACAGTGCTCCCAAATCCCCATTCAACGCTGATTGATAGGGCCTTGAACGACAGTCCATAAATTAAAAAAGAAAACCACACCTCATTTCAACACTTTTTATCTTCACGAAACACCCCCCCACCCCCACCCCCCTCACACAGACAGACATGTGCGCACACACAAACATGCGCACACATACAAGTAGATTTATTATTAACAACATTTCACGAAAAACAAATATCACTTGATGGTAACTACGTGTACCAGGGACATGTTCGTCTCTTTGTCTTCTTTGTCTTTGTACTAGATCTACCTGATTTCTGGCCCAAATACCTGGGTTGGCCCTGAATCTACTTGAACAAATATTAACTTTAAGGTAGGCAGCTCTGCAACTGGCAACATGTTAGTTATTTGCCCAGAAAGAATAGATCTAGCCCAGGTATCTGTATCTAGTAGCGGCCAACAATACGGCAACCTCCAAGTTGTGTATCTGTCATATAAGTTCTATCTTGTAGCAGCCAACAGATCAACCTACAATCTCCATTATATATTTCATATAAGTTCTATCTTGTAGCAGCCAACAGATCAACCTCCAATCTCCATGTTATACGTCTGGCAAGTAAGCTCTATCTAGTAGCAGCAATCTCCATGTTAGTGATCTGGCATGCCCTGTCTGTGACGTGCTTAGGTTTAGGTGTACTCTGCGAATTGTGGATGGTTGTGCCATCTTTGGACCCTGTTTGTGAATTGCTTGGGGCAAGCATTATCAGCAAAATGAATGCTACTGTTATAGAATCAAAACTCTTAACTAACACCATTGGACCGAGCAGGTTTTCTCTTCAAGCATTTGTTGACTTTTTCTGTATTCCTCGTAGGCCTTACTTGCAGTTCCGAAAAATTATGTAAGAATACAGATTCCCCGTGAATCTAACAGTGGCACGCAGTCACAGCAAAATACATAGTAATAGATTGTTCACTTTCGTCTGACCGCGGTTCAATACGAGATTTGATTTGTTTAATCTTGTCTGATTTTTTGCATACAAGTCAAAAAGGTGAATAACCAAAAGAATCTAATAGCCCATTCATAAAGGTCACTGCAAACTAAAGTCCCGTCACGTTTTCTTTGATGTTAGCCTAAAGCGGGTCCAAAAAAAAAAAATTCGGGATTTACAGCATGCACTTATAACAACATTAAAAAGTGGACATATTTTTCTGAACACCACATTTCAACGTACTCCAAAGAAACCCTGTCCAATAGATGGGTGAGTGCAGAGACTCGCGTGGAGACGTCTAGACAATCGGGGGTGAAATATATCAAGCTTTCACTGACGTGTGAGAGAAGGGTAGTGTCACTGTCTCAAAATGACCAATTTGTAGACCAGATTACGGTAAATCATTTACTATAAGATCCAGTGTATGCACCTATAAAGCGATTTTTAAAATAGAGCCAAAATAGATAAACTGATGTCTTTTTTTAAATTACAGGATCAAGATTTTTATATATGCCTTTGTTTGGTCGTTGGCCCGCAGAAGTGCCAAGCGAAGTTTCGAGGGTATAGATCTAATAAGGAACTTGATAAATGAGCTAGATTATTTTTTTAACGTGCACAGACAAATGTGAACAAGCTATAGTCAACGTATACATAGCGAAACACACCGTTAGTGAACATGTACATAGCGGAACACACAGTGAATGTGTACATGGCCTATTACACAGTTAGTGAACATGTATATAGCGGAACACGCACAGTTAGTGAACATGTACATAGCGGAACACACAGTTGGTGAACATGTACATAGCGGAACGCACAGTGAATGTGTACATGGCCTATTACACAGTTAATGAACATGCATATGGCGGAACACGCACAGATAGTGAACATGTATATAGCGGAACACGCACAGTTAATGAACATGTACATAGCGGAACACACAGTGAATGTGTACATGGCCTATTACACAGTTAGTGAACATGTATATAGCGGAACACGCACAGTTAGTGAACATTACATAGCGGAACGCACAGTGAATGTGTACATGGCCTATTACACAGTTAGTGAACATGTATATAGCGGAACACGCACAGTTAGTGAACATGTATATAGCAGAACACGCACAGTTAATGAACATGTACATAGCGGAACACACAGTTAGTGAACATGTACATAGCGGAACACACAGTTAGTGAACGTGTACATAGCGGAACATACAGTTAGTGAACATTTACATAGCGAAACGCACAGTGAACATGGACATAGCGGAACACAAAAGAGTAAACTATCCTGTACTACTGTGAACTGTCTTGTGATGTACCATTGTAAACAACCTTGTCGTGTACTATCGTTAAGTATCTTGTGCCGTACTATCGTGGTCTATCTTGTCGTGTTGGTTCAGGTTGTTATTTCAGCCGTTGTGCAAATTGGTGTTTGGAAATGAAACCAAAAAACGTTGAACTGAAGAAGTATGGGGTGGTCGTGAGGTTGTCGCGAGAAACTTGTGCTGTCAAAGGGGGCAGTTTGTTACGTGAGCAGAGAGCAGGCCAGGTCCTCCCTTGTTGTATCAGTTCATCAAAAACTACGAGTATTGATTCTCAAAAGGAGCGCAAAATACCGACACAAACAGAAGGATATGATTAACGCGATAAAGGCTCCCAGAAGATCGAGTTTTCGGTTTGTTTTCGACTTTTCAGTGTTTTTGTCATGGTTTCAGGTATGTACTCTTGACACAGGGTGTTCTCCGACTCGTCTGACCAGCCAGTGTGTCTGTGTTTTCCTCACGGATCTCCACATGCCGCCTAACGTCTCCGACTGGTGGGAGGGTGGTGGTGGACATGCACGAGGCTTCCTGGACGCTGCTCTAGTGCAGTGGTTTGAGTTGGTGGTCACTGTGGGCTTTACACAAGTCCTGTGCGTGGTAGGCGTGGGTTCGAACCTTCTGAACTTTGTGGTATTCTGGCGTCAAGGCTTCGCGGAGTCTGTGAACGTGAGCCTGTGCGCCCTGGCCTTTTCGGACCTATGCGGCCTGCTCACGCTCCAGGTGGCCAACGTGTGCGCCTACCCGTGGCTGGACAGGGAGTGGGGTGTGCCCGTGGTGCCGAGGGAGCTCATGTACCTGGCCGGCGGCTGGCCACACCTGTGCTTCGCGCGCATCTCCAGCTGGATCATGGCCTACGTGACGTTGGAGCGCTGTTTGTGCATCGTGGTGCCGCTCCACGTGAAGCGTCTGGTCACTCCGGGCGTCACGCTGACCGTGGTGGTGGTCATCCACGTGGCGCTGGTGGGCAGCATCCTGAGCGAGTACGCCACGCTCTACCTGGACTGGGTCTGGCAGCCGGCCTCCAACGCCAGCCTCCTGCGCCTGGTATCGCGGCCCACCCGGGCGGGGGTGGAGGGCGTGGCGCACCTCGTCAGCTTCCTCACACAGTTCCTGGCCTTTGTGGCCGTCGTCGTGTTCACCCTGGTGCTGCTCGTCAAGTTGAGGGAGACCCGCGAGAAACGCGACAAGATGACGCGCGGCAGGGCGGCTACACGTGAGGGCAACAGACGCGACAAAGCCGGGGACAACAGCAGCGGCGCCAGTGCTGCCCCAACCGCTTCAGACAAGCACGTCTCTGTCCCACAGGCCGACAACAGTGGACATGGTAGTGGCGGTGGTGGTGGTAGTGGTGGTAGTCGTGTTAGTAGTAGTAGTGGTAGTGGTGGTAGTCGTGTTGGTAGTAGTAGTGGTAGTGGTGGTAGTGGTGGTAGTGGTGCTGGTGGTGGTGTTGCTGGTGGTGGTGCTGGTGGTGGCAGAGGTGGAGGTGGAGGTGGAGGTTCTGGCGGAAAACGCGAGCGTAAGACGGAGAAGATGGTCGTGCTGCTGTCGTGCGTGTTCATCGCCTGCTTCACGCCCAGCACCGTGGCCTTTCTCTTCGTCATGCTCTACCACGAGTTCAGCGTCTACGGCCGCTACCGCAACACCTGGCTCCTCGTCTGGTCCGGCTGCTTCGCCCTGGAAGCGCTCAACGCCAACGTCAACTTGCCTCTCTACTACCACATGAGCTCTCGCTTTCAGAACACGTTGCGAAAAATGTTCCCACGATTGCTGGCCCGCTCCACGCCGCCGGAAAAACAGATGTTCAAGATAAACTAACCTATTGGCTAGAACTAACTAGTTTGTCCAAAACTGGCCTCTTTGTCCACAGAACAGTATTGCACCTCTCCACACTAGATCTGGAGTTCAAACACAGAACACTGTGAACGTTTATACATTTAGTACACTCAAACTCAGAACACTGTGTGAATTTTTATAGTGCTCAAAAACAGGACACTGTGTGAATATTTATAGTATAAAAATTATTTTGCGCTGAAACACAGAACACTGTGAATGTCTATAGTGTGTTCAAACACAGAACACCGTGAATGTCTATAGTGTGTTCAAACACAGAACACTGTGAATGTCTATAGTGTGTTCAAACACAGAACACCGTGAATGTCTATAGTGTGTTCAAACACAGAACACTGTGAATGTCTATAGTGTGTTCAAACACAGAACACTGTGAATGTCTATAGTGTGTTCAAACACAGAACACCGTGAATGTCTATAGTGTGTTCAAACACAGAACACCGTGAATGTCTATAGTGTGTTCAAACACAGAACACCGTGAATGTCTATAGTGTGTTCAAACACAGAACACCGTGAATGTCTATAGTGTGTTCAAACACAGAACACCGTGAATGTCTATAGTGTGTTCAAACACAGAACACTGTGAATGTCTATAGTGTGTTCAAACACAGAACACCGTGAATGTCTATAGTGTGTTCAAACACAGAACACCGCGAATGTTAAAGGCACACGTCCCCACTTTTTAAACGGAGGAAGATTGGGGGTGGGGAGGGATAAGGGTAATGGACATGGCATTTATGGAGGGGGGGGGGACTTTGTTTGCCCCCCATATCAGAAAAACAATAAAGAGAGCGTTTTACAAAAGGTGTCGTGATCCACTTCCCACCTATGTACCTTTTATCATGCACCCACCCACCTGACAGTATGGTTTCAGCCAAGTGTGCGAATCATCTCAGTCGGGGGCTCTCGTGGTCTAGATCAGGTTTCGATGTTCGCCTCTCCTTCAATAGGTCTTGGGTTCGAAACCTGACAGCAACGGAATATTTTCTTCTCTAAAATGCTCTCCTTTCACCTCCTTTCCTGCTCTCTATGTTCTGTCGTCTGCTTTCGTCTCCGCTTTCTTCCCCCCTCCCTTCTGCCCCCTCCTCTGGGTTTCTGACTCTTTCTGCAGCCTTTCTACTTCTCCTCCCTGACTCCTTTTTACTGCTGTCTTTCTGGCACACACGTTATCTCATGGTAGGTAAGATCTAACACCTAGTCTTCTGTCTTCTCGGATACATACTTTTCACTTTTTCATCCTCTGTAACCGTTAAACGTCGAAGGGAGTCTTCTCGGATACAGGTGACAAATCAATGTCGTGTGCAAGTTGCGCATGCTAAGATCCCGTTCTCTCTCTCCCTCTCCCTCTCCCTCTCCCTCTCCCTCTCACGTGAAGATTCATTATACTTTATCTAGTCCACAAAACAGTTTTATCAGGGGAAATTATTGGTATAATTGTCCGTTTATAACACATTATTTCCCATTGTATAGTTGTACTTTCTTTTTAGATTTCTCTTCCATCAAAACATTTTTATGCTACGGAAAACTGTAAAATTCAGTCCACTTAATGTGGGTCAAAACTTTTAGCAATATGATGAATCATACAGAGATGTTCATCCTTAACAACATATTCTTTTATAACGATTCGGCTCATCTTTATATACATGAACATGTATTTTCCTTTGTGTAGGCCTTGGAGTAACTATTAATTGGAGAGGGCGTGAGTCACGTAACGTGAAGCCGATTCCGACGACGGTCGGCCATCTTTGTGAGATCAGCTCAGTTGTAAACATTGTGTCGACAAAATGCCAGTTTGCGCAGCGTTTGGCTGCACCAACAGATCGGGAAAAGCGAAACCTGACAAAATTACTTTCCATAGGTAAGTAAATGTCTTACTGTTTGATTGTGAATGCTTTATTTTAAAATAAACTGATTAAACTTTAAAAAATTGACTGAAAGTGAAACTGAACGAATCGCACAACTCTCTGACAATGTCACAGTAGACCTTGATTAAGATTGTTTCTACCAAGGACAAAGGGATGAAGGGCTGAAACAGATGATTTTTCCAATCAGTACGATGCGAGTAGATACTATTACAGATTTCCAGTATTTTTTCTATGTCATGTTTAACTGTTGCCTATGTTTAATTAAACGAATTTAATCCATTTCTGCATTTTTAAAAATAATCGTGAAGCAAAATGACTGACAATTTACTGTGATTAATGTGTGTGTGTGTGTGTGTGTGTGTATGTGTATGTGTGTGTGCATGCGTATGTGTGCGTGCGTGCGTGCGTGCGTGT